AAAGACAATAACTAATACTTCTGGCACTGCTTCAGATGCTTCTCCTGGTCCCCTAGAGGAATTTCATCAAATCCACCTGATTTGAAAATATCTAGCATATCTAACTCTCTGCCATGACACTGCTTGGTTTTGGAGAACTTAGAAAGCATCTCCTCAGTCATACTTAGCAAAATAAAGGTCCTAGATAGAATTCTGAAATGAAAATACTCCCTTACCAGATGGAAAAGCTAAGTAGTTGGAAAATCTGACAGGTGTGGAAAAGTCCAGATTCAGCAGGAGTTACCCTTATGAGGAAAAAAAATGGACAGGTTCTAAATTCTCAAAGAAAGCACAATTCAGAAGATGCAAATAATCCAGAAGGGAACTGAAAGCAAATATATTGTTGGTTTTTTTTTTCATACAAGGTGCCAAAATAGGAAGAAAAGCAAAACACTCACTTCTTCACAGTGTTTGAAATCTATGAAATAAGATGAGGAACAAGAATGCCTAATCAATATTCAGACATTGATACAACAGGCATATTAGAATTTTTTGGGAAAGACAGTGGGACGCTAATATCAAGAAACAAAATACACAGTAAAGATAAAACATTCCAGTGGCAGAACAGCAATCTGCCCTTTGGAAAGCTCAATATCATGCTGAATTTGTAAGCTAATCAACTCAGTATGTAACACAGTGTCTATACAAACTGAAATTCTAGGACTAAGTATGAAGAATACAGGTATGATAGATAATGTTACTGACCAAGGACAATAAAATGCCTCGAATTCAATAAGCTGAAGAAGATCAGAGTGGCAGTATGGTCAGGAAATACAGCAGTAATAAGAAACTTCAAGTGTAGATTGACAAATATCATGCCAGGAGTTGAAGCAGATGTAATTTTTGAACTCTGTCAGCAATTATTCCACAGAGCACTTGGTTAGAGAGCCCATAGAAACAAATGCAGTTCTTGGCTTTGTACTGAGAAATGCACATGATCTGGTTCTAGCCCTTCCAGTGGAAAAACCACTGTGACCGTTACCAGAGAGGACTCAGTCAGCAGCTCCGAAGGGGCACCACAGGCTGAATGTTCCACTGCCATTGTGCTAAGCTTCAAAGAAAGCTAGGCGAAAATGAAGAAGCTTGTTACAAAGAAACTAGAAAGGTCAGCGGAGAGGATTAATTCCTAGCAAGCAGCATGGAAAGTGAAGAACACCAAACTAGAAGCATAACTGCTGTGTATGACCTATTGAGAAAGGCTGGAGAATGGATTAAAGGAGGCCAGCACATACAAATGGCTAAGTAAGCAAGTTTATTAGCAGTATGAAGGCATTTTTTCAAAAAGATGTCTATTGTATCCAAGCAAATAAAATGAAATGAATCACGCAGCCTGGCAGGTTAAAAGCAAAATCCTAATTAGCAAGGCTAAAAAGGACTTCAAAGAGCACTAACTAAAAGAATTAGAACTAGTACTAAGCTCTGCAGGGAAAGACCTGCATGTCCTGGTGGATAGCAGTTTGGCCATGAGCCAGTGGTGTGACCTTGCGGCCAAGAAGGCCAACGGTGTCCTGGAGCACATTAAAAAGAATGTGGCTGGCAGGTTAAGGGGAGTTATCCCCTCCCCTATTATCTGCCCTGGTGAGGCCACATCTGGGAAAGAGAACACAGAGGAGGGATCTTATCAATGCTTATAAATAGTTCATGTGTGGGAGTCAAGTGGATGGGGTCAGGTTATTTTGGCAGCGCCCAGCAATAAGACGAGGGACTGTGGGCATAAACTGTAATACAGGAAGTTCAATCTGAACATGAGGAAGAACTTTACTGTGAGAGTGGCAGAACATTGGAACAGGCTGCCCAGGATTTGCAGAGTCTCCTTCTTAAAATATTCAAAACCCTCCAGGACTCTTTCCTCTGCAGCCTACTCTATGGAACCAGTTTCAAGAGGGTATTTGGACTAGATGATCTCAAGAGGTCCTTTCCAACACCTGCAATCTGTGATTCTGTGATTTGTCATACGGATTGATGACCTCACAGGGACCATCGTCGCTAAGGGATGAAACATGTAGATACAATTCCATGAAGGCACTGGTTCTGTGCACAGGAGCAAATAAAATGCTAGTCAGAAGTTGGGAGTTAGTAAGAAAGTAACAGTGAACAAAACAGTGAAAAACATCTTGTCCACATGTAAGCCCATGGTTAGTCCCAAGCTTGAATCTGTGTGCAATTCAAAACCTAATACCATCTCAAAAACGAAAGAAAATAAAAAAATAAAAATAAAAAATAAAAAACAGAGCAAGAGAGCATTCAAAGAAAAGCTACAGAGATAATCAAAAGTATGGAATGACTTCTGTAGGAGGATTAACTCAGTAAACTGGAACTTTTCTGCCAAGGAAAGAAAAGATGTACGTGAGATGTCTACAAAAGCCTCAATGAAGTGGTGATTATGCATTATGATACACATCATGTCCAACTCAAGATCTAGGGACTTTAGAATGAAGGTAGCAGGAACCAAGTTCAAAAACAACAAAGAACAGTGAGCTTTCATACACGTAATAAAATCATGGAATACTCTACCGGAGGCGGTATGAATATGAAAAACATGAGTTCAAGGAGACACCAGGCAAGCGTTTAGAAACACTGATCAGAGGATATTAAACAGGGAAAAAAATATCAGGATAAAAAAATCGCTGGTAAGAAGGTACTGGGCATTCTTCCTTCCACACAAATTCTGAACCTCTCTTCCATTCTACATTTTTAAATAAATAGAAACATGAAGATTCTTTACAAACAAGAGCTGCAAAAACTGTTGCCATTTCACATCTTTGTTGTTACACAATGACAAATGCTTTTAACAGCTTATATAGTTGTCCAGGTGCAACCACACTTCAATGTTAAGCCTGCATTAGGATCAGATTTGCCATTAAGCCTGCATTCTAGTTGTTTCATCAATTATGACAAGATGTCACCAATGCAGTTCCAGTCCTATTCTCCCATCTTATCACCCATGTCTCCATCTGAATCTTCCTTCTTTTTCTTCATATTTATGATATGTCAAATATGTATACTTTCACAGTATTCCTGGATGTTAAATTTACAGCTCTGGAGGAATTCCTTCTTTCCTTTCCTTTCCTTTCCTTTCCTTTCCTTTCCTTTCCTTTCCTTTCCTTTCCTTTCCTTTCCTTTCCTTTCCTTTCCTTTCCTTTCCTTTCCTTTCCTTTCCTTTCCTTCCTTCCCTTCCCTTCCCTTCCCTTCCCTTCCCTTCCTTCCCTTCCCTTCCCTTCCCTTCCCTTCCCTTCCCTTCCCTTCCCTTCCCTTCCCTTCCCTTCCCTTCCCTTCCCTTCCCTTCCCTTCCCTTCCCTTCCCTTCCCTTCCCTTCCCTTCCCTTCCCTTCCCTTCCCTTCCCTTCCCTTCCCTTCCCTTCCCTTCCCTTCCCTTCCCTTCCCTTCCCTTCCCTTCCCTTCCCTTCCCTTCCCTTCCCTTCCCTTCCCTTCCCTTCCCTTCCCTTCCCTTCCCTTCCCTTCCCTTCCCTTCCCTTCCCTTCCCTTCCCTTCCCTTCCCTTCCCTTCCTTCCCTTCCCTTCCCTTCCCTTCCCTTCCCTTCCCTTCCCTTCCCTTCCCTTCCCTTCCCTTCCCTTCCCTTCCCTTCCCTTCCCTTCCCTTCCCTTCCCTTCCCTTCCCTTCCCTTCCCTCCCTTCCCCTCCCTTCCCTTCCCTTCCCTTCCCTTCCCTTCCCTTCCCTTCCCTTCCCTTCCCTTCCCTTCCCTTCCCTTCCCTTCCCTTCCCTTCCCTTCCCTTCCCTTCCCTTCCCTTCCCTTCCCTTCCCTTCCCTTCCCTTCCCTTCCCTTCCCTTCCCTTCCCTTCCCTTCCCTTCCCTTCCCTTCCTTTCCCTTCCCTTCCCTGCCCTGCCCTGCCCTGCCCTGCCCTGCCCTCCCCTGCCCTCCCCTGCCCTCCCCTGCCCTCCCCTTCGCCTGTCAAAAATGAAATCAAACCCACCACAAAGGATTTTGTGCTCCGGTGACGGAGCACTGGAACAGGCTGCCCAGGGAGGTGGGGGAGTCTCCTTCTCTGCAGATGTTCAAGACCTGCCTGGATGCCTACCTGTGCGACCTGCTGTAGGGAACCTGCTTTGGCAGGGGGGTTGGACTCGATGATCTCTGGTGGTCCCTTCCAACCCCTACAATTCTGTGATTCTGTGATTCTGTGATTTGGCGCAGTTACATGCTACTGGCTACAACGAGAGCTGCCAGCAGTCAGCTGTGAAGCTCTGCTGCTGTTCTCTTTATGTACAGGCACAACAAGGCTCTACACCTCACAGTGCAGTTCTCACTTTGACTGTAAAGAAAAAGGAGGCTTGAAAAGCAGTCTGGGGAAAACAAAGAAAGCAAGAATTAGAAGCCATCAACAGCGGTGCAATGGTACCTGAAAGAATTGCTCCATCTTTAACAGCAGAGCAATTCAACAAGCATGAGGGCATTTCAAACCAGACCAGTTGGGACAGATGAACAACTGCAAGTAGTGGGTTCCAAAGTTCTAGACATGAAATCAAGGCTGGAAAAACTCTTCACATGTTCGTCTCTCAGTTTTTAGTACATTGTGCATTACAGTGGAAGCAAGTCTTCAACACAACTTGGAAGCTAAAGACAAGTCTAACAAAACATGTAAGATCCTGAGACCGCACAAGAGTTTGACCAATGACGGACAATTAGCAGAGCAAATTGCTCTTTCAAAAACTTACTAATAGAAGGAGATCTCTGAAGTTGCTGTTTTACAGAGCCCCAAAGTGGGGAACAATTGGTGGAGACAGATGAGGATCAGCCAGAGACAAACCAGCCAGCTGTGTGAACTGCGGCCCATTGCACTTTTCAGTCTGTGGCCACTGACAGCTTCTGAGAGCTACTGAGCAACGCAACCCAGCAGAATTCAGGAGGGGAACCAAGTGAGCGTATCTGAGCTCCACTGCCTTTAAACACTCTCTGGGGAGGGAAAGAGGGGAGAGGTGCGAAACAAACTCTGGTCTGCATACCTCTGAGCCAATATAGGCTTTGCCCTGGATTAGCTCTGGTGCTGCACACGCTGGGCTTCCAACAGCACGTGTTCAGGCGGTCATCAAGGCCTCCCTGGAATAACACAGAAAACAGAAGAGTTTGCTTTAACAGAGTTCATGCTTTCTGCAGTGACACTTCAGAAGCCTCAGAGGCTTCTTCTCCTGGGCATACTTTCATTCACTATATATTTGGCTTTCATTCAATAGGTGACCTCACTAAGCAAATATTGTCTAAGACCAGGAGCACTGTACAAATATACAGATCCCAAGCTGCTCACTTATCTGATGTATCCTTGGCATGATGCATTATTTTCCTCAGCTGATCATCTACTAAGATGAACTGTCTGCACAAACACCAAACTGAGAAAGAAGTCATGCAAGAGCTGTTGTGTTTGAGGCTCGCTGGTCATTTAGAGCAATTTCATGCAATCACTTTACAAACTTGACAAAGAACAACTGGTAGAATACTTCCTTATTCAGAGTATCCTATTACTCTACTTGGGTTTTGTGCTAAACAGGTCAGAGCAAGATGACATTATACCACTGGGACAACAGCCTGTTGGTCTTGATTACCTGCGAGAGACTCTAAATTTGGCCAGGAAAAGCGATTTGAGGATATTTAAGTAATTTGAGGATTTAAGTAATTCTCTTTGAATCAGGAAGGCACTCTTCCCATTAAATCCTTTCTCACCAGCACCCATCTGGCATGTTAAGTAAAGGCTCCTAGAAAGCCGTTTTAAGATCAAGAAACAATTCAGTTCAAGCATATGCAACCACAGGATCTGTTTGTCACCTGCAAAACTCTTTGGTTTTATCCATGATCTCAATCTACACACAGTTCCTTCGAAGAGATAATGGCATGCCAGCCCAGTGCTCCTATGACAGGCCCTTGCATAAGACAGGTGATACACGTACAAGATTGTCTACAGTTAGACTGTGAAAACAGGAAGTCTGGGTAGAGAAAAGAATCTGAGTGTGCTTCTGAGCAATCTGTTCACTCTCACACAGCTAAGGCCCTTCCAAGCAAGATGCAACTGCATGTCAATCACAGAGACAGCTTGAATGTAGGGTGCTTGGGCAAGTCCCTGTTGCATACTGTAGAAAAACATGCATTACTTGGGGGCACATTTGATTTCAGATACTCTTACCTTTGGCTTTGCCAGAGTCCAAAGTCTGTCAGCTTCAAATTATGAGAAACATGTTTCTCATCAATCAGCGGATTTTCCTGGTGAATGAAAAAGCAGTCAGGAATTATTTTCACCTGAACGCTCAAGGAAACATATTTTCTCTTCTGTTATTTCTTCCTGTGGTCAGTGGTTAGCAGGCTACCAAAAGCCCTCTCTCTCTGTCTCTCTCTCTCTCTCTCTCAGAGATTTTCACTGACTGCTAACAAGTTCCCATATCCCAGGGGGGAAATACTGGTTTGTATCTGTTAGAAAGGGTCCGGGGACTAGGAGGACAAGTGGTGAAAGACCACAAGATGAATGCAAGCCAGCAGTGTGTGCTGACAGGAAAAAAAGCACAACAGGATAATGGGCTGCATTCAAAAGCAGCACAACCAGACCAGGACAAGTCACCCCTGCTGCACACTCATTGGACCACATTTACAATACTGTATTTAGTTTTCAGCCAGGAAAGATAACAACCCGAAGCAAGCTTTGTGGATGGCCTCCAGTCAGTGCAGGGAGCTGAAGCTCCCACTCAGAGAAGAGAAACTGGGGAGAAAGAGGTTTGTTCAGAGTTCAGAGGAACCTCACGGCAACTTCTAAATGCCCACAAGGGAGGCATGAAGAAAGGAAGACAGATTCCTGAGAATCCGTGCAGCAGGTCATGGTGGGATAGTGACCAAAAACAGTCATTCATGGAAACAGCAGACTGGACAGAAGGAAACAAAACTGCTCAAGCATTGAACAGATTGCCCACAGAGAGCATGCAGCCTCATCCTTGGGAGAGGTTGAGCATGAAAACGAAAAAGCTCTGAGAAACTTGGTATCAGGATTCTCGGAGCAGCAGGTTCAGGCACAAATCTCTAGAAGTCACCTCCATTCCAAGTTACTGTCCGAGCCTGTGAATCCATCAGCTTTTCAGCTGGAAGCCAGTTCTTTCCAAAAAGTACAGGCAATGCTTTATTTTTCAGAGGGGAAAGATTCTTTAGATACGAGGATATCATAAGATGCCTAGGAAAATGCTTGTGCTGTAATGATTTGCTTTACTCAGCGATATCAGCAACTTGAGAAATGCAAAGTTCTAACCTACTTGTGTAGAAAGACTCAAACCTTCCAGTATCTAACCAGTGCTTAAAGCCTTCAGTGACAGAAAACCCACTGGATGGAGCCAAGGCATGCATCTCATCCCATACTCTGCATAGCCACTGTTTGTTTGAAGGATCACTCTTCCTTGAGGCACAAAACTGGAGTACACTGCACGCTGACACCTGTAGTTACTGCTAGGCAGTGTTGCACAGAGCCAAAGTCATTCTCAGCTGAGAGCCCAAGGAAGTGAGAGGGAACAGAATTAGGACAGCTGACTTAAACTGGCCAAAGGGAGATCCCATACCATATGACATGGTGTGGAAGGAGTTCTGAAGGGCGTAGAAGTTCATGTAAATCTCTTCTACTCCGAGGAGCCTAACTAGACATTGATTGGTAGGTGGTGAGCAATTGCATTTGCACTCATCAGAACTGTTATCCTTTTCCTTTCCTCTACCTCAGTAAATAATTTTATCTCATATGAGTTCTACTTTGCGTGGTTTTCTCCCCCCTTCCATTACCTCCTGCAATTCACTGGAAAGAAGTGGATTGAGTGAAGCACTGCGTGATGCTCAGGCACCTGCCAGGTTAAACCACAACCACAAAGGGACAACTTTCTCTCCCAATGGAAAAATAAAAACACGCTCATTGTTATTTATGAAAGACTGAATACAGTTCAGACTTACTGGTTTGAGGTCTCTGTGGGCATGACCCTGACTGGGAACATAAGCAAGTGCTGAAACAGTCTGTCGAAAAAAGACTCGAGCTTCCTCTTCTGAAAGGTGGTCCTTAGAAACAATATAATCAAACAGCTTCCCTCCAGGACAATGCTTTAATGAGAAAGGTAAAGTTATCTGACAACATATTTAGAATGCATCAGAGAAAAATAACCAGCAGTGAGAGCACAGCAAGCACAGGACACCATTCCCCGTGCTCAGTCAGAACAGTACAGAGTGCTCCAGTTATGCCATGGGCCAGCACTGTGGCACACCACACAAGCTACACAATCTGACCCTTGCCTCCAATCTGGTAACTGAGGCACTGCACTCAATGTCGTGGGTGGCATGAATCACTCAGGAGATGGCAATAACGTGGGGGCAGATGCTACTTTAAAAACTGAAGTGTGAGTTAGGAATTAAAACCAGTTCCCTTACTGTGAATGCTGATTAGTGCCTTTTACAGAAAGATAGAATATAGAACATTGCATTCTTAATTTTAAAACCAATGAATCTTGAACCCATTCACCACTGAGATATTTAAGAATCATTTCATTTCAGCTTCATTTCTATATTATTGTCTGCTGCTAAAGATAAAAACAGTAGCCTTCAGCGTGGCACAAGCACTGTTTCTTACCTCCAAGACCATGACTATTTTCTTTGATGTCTCTGTTACCTGATACAATTAGCAAACATCTTGCTGACTTCAGTTCTTCATGGCACCAATTTCTGTTCTAAAACGAGGCAAGTCATCCTTAAGAGACCATAAAAGCAAGCTATGAAATTGCTAACTAATTTGGCACACCAGGTACCACATCTGACTACTGTGTAAAATAAGATGTCAAAGCCTGTATGTGACAGTACACAATTCAGCATCAACTCAGCAATGGCTGACATTGCTCCCATAGGAATTGTAGAACACAGATCAGAGAAAGCTGAAAGGTAAAATATCCAGTATTTTCATTAGCACTTTGTTAAAGTTGCTGTAGTAATGTTGAACCTCCTCCATTTTACAGCCAGAGAGGTGGCTGTAAAAGTGGTGGGTTTTTCTGTTTGGTTTTGTTTTGTTGTTGTTTTCTGAAAAATGTCAGGGAGCAGATTTTCATATTTTGAAGAATTTCAGAGATGTCTCTTCATTACAGAAGGCCTTCTGACCAGCTGCATCTTATCAACTGCAAAGCAGCTGGATAGATTTGAGGTTCATATTATGCTGAGCAATGTATTCATGGCAAATTGATCTACTGGGGTTATTTAATCTGGCTGAGTCAGCCATCTTTATAGCTGGAATATGCTGAGCACAGCTTGCAGCTCTCTCCTTTAGCGTGTGTGTGTTTGCAAGGCTTTGTCCCCAGCAGAAATAGCACTTTTGCTGTTTTGCTGCAGGACCAAACATCTTGCAGGACTGGTGATGTTTACTAGATACTCTTCCTAAAGAATAAGCATAGGCCAGAATTGTAGAGGGTAAGAATTGCAGAAGAAGCGTGGCCGATAAACGGAAGCTTTGTAGGTGATTGAGGTCTCAGGATGCAATAAGCATTAAAAGAAACTAGGGATGACTTTTTTTCACTCAGAAGGTGGTGAGGTACTGGAACAGGCTGCCTGGAAAAGCTCTGGATGCCTCTGGTTCTGATCATCCTGATCTAATGGGTGGCCCATAAAAGGGGGATTGGAACTGAATGGTCTTTAAGTTCTTTTCCAATTCGAGCCATTCTGTGATTCAATGATTTTCAGTGTCAGAATTCATGCAGTTAGTACTTGCCTATGTGAAAACAGAGTCCGCACCCTTTCAACAGAGAAGAGACCTTTTTGTCTGAGAACTAGTGGAATTAGGGGGATAGGGGATAATTTTAAAAAATCCTGTTTGAAATCATACTTTGGGACACTCTTCACTTTGCCCTCACTTTCTAGAGCATTTCTGAGCAAACTGAGTACTTCTCCCCCATTTCTGCTGCTGCTTTCAATAGCTCAGGAAGCTAGCACTCTCTTTCCTGGCAAGGGAGGGATGTAGGACTGACTCAGTTTCTGTGCAGGACACTGAGAATGAAGATGCTCTGTAGATGATCATTAGTAATGTAAGGCTGTCCTCTTCCTGGCAAAGCCATTGACACTGAGTCTGCTAGGAGTGAAGCAGCACTGCAGTGCCAGGCAGAGCTCCCATTCCCTTCTTCCCTCCCCACCATCATGTGCTCCTCAACAAATTTTCCACTGTTTACTTAGAAATCCATGAAACAAAAGACTGAGGCTGAAGAAGCTCCACCTGGGGAAGTCAAGGTGGAGGAAACCCCTGCTGCTGCTGCTGTGGGAAAGGAGGCCATCCCTGCTGAGCCAGATGAGCCAACAGAGCAGGCTGCGGTGAGTGATCTGTCCCCCATGTCCATCTCCCAGCCTCATCTGGGCCATCTCTCATCACAGTGAGTGTGCTTGCTGTATTTCAGCCATCCCCTCCGTTCCTCATCATGGCTGGTTTTGTCAGCGTCCAGCTGTGTCTCAGCATGCCTCTCCAGCAACATTTGCTCCTGTTGGTCCCAAAATGTCATTCCTTTTAAGACTGGCATTTTAGCTGGAAGTTCACCTGCATGGTCTTACAGGCAGTCAGAGGTCAGTGCAGAGCATCGACAAAAGGTTTTCAGATATGCAGATACTCTAGCCTTGCATGGATCTTTCTGTGGAGCTGATTGTGTTTCACATTCCTGCTGGGGGCAATGGCTCAGGCACTACAAGCCTGATTGTGACATTTGTTAACATAGGGGAACAGCGTTAGGAAAGCGTACAAACAGAAGTGAAGAGTGGCTTGGAAATGGTCTGAAGCTCTACTCAACCAGTGTCAGGTTGGTTGTGTGCTGGTGGTGTTGGACCACTGCAGAAGCCACTCATGATACCACGCAAACTGTGTGCAGCAGAAAGCTCTGGAGTACAGCTGTAGTTTAAAGGACTCCTTAAGGACAGAGAGATGATTTTGCCTGGATAGTTCCAACTGTGTCACTGGATTAAAAACTGGTATCAAATGTGCATAAAATGAAAAGGCAGGCTGAGCTTTAGTTGCAGCACCTGCCTGGTTATCATTTCTCCCTTGCTCCTATCTTCCTAGCAGGGTAAAAAGAATTTGTTGTAGATGGAAATGGGGACAGTTTTCTGCATGCTGTTCTGGAGAACTTTGAGGGAGAGGAGGATGATCCTTGTCTAATCCTTCCTATTTGCTCTGGATTCCTACCTGTGAGAGCAGCATCGTAACGGTAGAGGAAAGCAATGCCAATGTGTTCCCTAGAATTATGAATTGGACTTGATTCTAATTAAATCATGAATATTGAGTGTGTTTAATTTTAATTTACTCCTTGTTCATGTCTGTAGCAAGCCCTAGAGCGAGTGACCTCAGCGTCATCCTCTTATAATAACAGACACAAAGAAAGGCCCCATGGTCTGCAGAGGTCAGGCTTTTCCCCATGCGTGTTTTCTTTTGAGTTGATCTAAATCACTGTAATAACTTGTCCACTCTATAGCAAAGCAAACAATGAAACTGCCTATCTGAAGCACGTTGTTCCAACAGACCGTTGTCAAAAATCCTCCATGGCTAGGCAGAGTAAATTTGATGGTTTGGAATAAAGAAGAAAGAAAGGATGGTGAGTAGAGGAAGGATGGGACATCAGTCATTGGTCAGGAGGTCCCCCATTTCCTTGTTGGTCTTCCCAACGGGTGGCCTTTCAGCCCACCTGTAACTGCTGGCCACAGGCTGTGAGCATCCCTTTGCTCTCCAAGGACTGCTAGCAAAAGCACGAAGGAGGGTAAGCGGCCCGGGAGGAAGAAAGGCATCCCTGCACTCAGCCCCTTGAGCTTGCCTCTCTTCCCGGTGGCTTTCTCAGCCTTGGGCTGTGCTGAGGGTTGCTGTTTGCCCCGGGAAGCCCAGCTGCACGTGGGCAGCCGTAGCCTGCACGTCAGCCTGGCGTTGAGGCACGAGGAGTTGAGGTGTGGGTGGGATGGCGTGAAGAGCAGCGCTGGGAGCGGGGAGGAGGAGAGGGCAGCGGGTGGGCGGCAGGGGAATGTGCCTCGGAGCAGAGCTCAGCCTCGAGGTTGGAGGACACTGAGCCGTGCTGCGCTGCTGCAGCTCCAGTGGCTTCAAGCACGTTACGGCAGCGCCGCGTGTTGTGCCAGGGTGCTGTGAGGGCGCTTTGCTGAGCCATGAAGGGCGACTGCTTTGCCAAGTGTTTTCCTGTCGCTCCTTGGAGTTCCTGCATTTGAATTACTGCACGATGATCTGCTGTTTAAACTGCTCCTCGTACCTCTGCATCATCTGCAGACTGTGCTGCCAGGTCCCTGATGGAGTGGTGGAATGTTACTGGTGCTGGGTAGAGGCCAAGGCACCTTTCTATCAACTGGCTTCCAGCTGAGCTTTTTGCCAGTTCTCGCAGCCCTCTCTGTCTGGCCCTTGGGGTAGGTTTGTGCCCACCTCGTAGCCCTCTTTTTTAGCTGGTATGTCATCAACTTGCCTATGAGGCTGTCGTGAGAGAGAGGAAAGCCCTACTGAGGTGGAGAGAAACAGAATTCACCGGTGTTTTCTTTCCCACCAAACTTCCCCGCCCCTCCCCCCCGTACAAAGCTGTCACATTGGTACCCAGTGGTTTCCCCTTTGTTCTCTGTCACCCTTTTCCTTAACGAGTCCGGGGACGACTCCTATTTTGTTTGTATGTATCAAGCATGATGTAGTGATGTAGAATAAGGGGGGGAATGTCATGGTTTTATGCTTTGGGTTATCAGCATTCCACACCATAACATCATGTAATGCACTGGGAGTTTGACTGCTGATGTTCAAGTTCCGGGTGCCTGTCTGGAGGAGAAGAAGAACCACGTTTCCCCACGGGGCTTTGCAGTCAGCAAGGACATACAGCTCCTGGCCAAGTCCCCTGATGTTCTTGTCTTTGCCCGCGCTTCTCCACCTGCTTCTTTTCATCGGCTCAACTGGACCGCAGTTCTCACCTCGGCTCTGTGGTGAGGCCTATCCACCTTTCAGACACACTCTCTCTCTCTCTCTCACATTCTATTTTGCTGATACCATATTTAGTAAATTAGTTTGTTCCACCTCAGATCGTTGCCACTGTTTTCAATCATTTTGGGATCCCCTGTTTCCCTTTTCAGGACCCGCGGATCCCTCCGCCCTGCTGGTCATGGAACCGGGCCGAACCAGCCCATCAACTGCGGACATCGAGGCAACTCCACTTCAGAGCTGGATAGAGAGCGTGGAGAGAAAGAAAAGGGAAGGGAGGGGAGAGGAGTAGAGGGGAATGGAGCCTGAAGACTGGAGGATAGGCAATGTCACTCCGGTCTTCAAAAAGGGCAAGAAGGAAGATCCAGGCAGTTATAGGCCAGTCAGCCTCACCTCTGTCCCTGGAAAGGTGATGGAACAGCTGTGCTGGAGGCCATCTCCAGACAACTGGAAGAAAAGGAGATGATCAGGAGTAGTCAGCATGGGTTCACCAGGTGAAGGTCGTGCTCCACCAACCTGGTGGCCTTCTATGATGTCTCTGGCTGGGTGGATGGGGGGAGAGCAGTGGATGTAGCCTACCTTGATTTCAGCAAGGCATTTGATACTGTCCCCCATGACATCCAAAGCTGAGCAAGTGTGGGATAGATGTGTGGACAATGAGGTGCGTTGAGAACTGGCTGACTGGCAGAGCGCAGAGGGTCGTCGTTGGCGGTGCAGAGTCTGGCTGGAGGCCTGTAACCAGCGGTGTCCCTCAGGGGTTGGTGCTGGGTCCGGTCTTGTTCAACATCTTCATCAATGACCATGATGAGGGGATGGTGGCCACCCTCAGCGAGTTTGCTGATGATACGAAGTTGGGAGGATTGGCTGAAATGCCTGAAGGCCGTGCTGCCATTCAGCGAGAGCTGGACAGGCTGGAGAGCTGGGCAGAAAAAAAACGGATGAGGTTTAACAGAAGCAAGTGTAGAGTCTTGCATCTGGGGAGGAATAATTGCATGCACCAGTACAGGTTGGGGGATGAGCTGCTGGAGGGGAGCTCTGTGGATAGGGACCTGGGTGTCCTGGTGGATGACAGGTCGGCCATGAGCCAGCAGTGTGCCCTTGTGGCCAATGGCATCCTGGGGTGCATTGCAAAGAGCGTGGCCAGCAGGTCGAGGTGATCCTCCCCCTCTGCTCTGCCCTGCTGAGGCCTCATCTGGAGCACTGCGTCCAGTTCTGGGCTCCCCAGTACAAAACAGACAGGGATCTCTTGGGAAGAGTCCAGCAGAGGGCCACCAAGATGGTGAGGGGCCTGGAGCATCTCTCCTATGAGGAAAGGCTGAGTGAACTGGGTCTGTTCAGCCTTGAGAAAAGAAGACTGAGAGGGGAGCTGATCCAGGTCTATAAATATCTAAGGGGTGGGGGGCAAAATGGCAAGGCCAGACTCTTTTCAGTGGTGAATGGAGACAGGACAAAGGGAAATGGCCGGAAACTGCAGCATAGGAAGTTCCGCACCAATGCAAGAACTTCTTTACGGTGAGGTGACGGAGCACTGGAACAGGCTGCAGGGAGGTGGTGGAGACTTCTTCTCCGGAGATGTTCAAGACCTGCCTGGATGCCGACCCGTGTGACTTGGTGTAGGGAACCTGCTTTGGCAGGGGGTTGGACTCGATGAGCTCTGGAGGTCCCTTCCAACCTCTACAATTCTGTGATTCTGTGTGATTCTGTGATCCCAGCTCATCCCAGCTTCATCCCAGCACATCCCACACCATCCCAGCCCCATCCCAGCACATCCAAGCATCAAACCAGCATCATCCCAGTACATCTGACCACCATCTCAGCACAACCCAGACATCCCATACATTTTGCACGATCCCAGCATCATCCCAGCACAATTCCATGAAAGCACGAAAATACATTTCAGACAAACAAAGGATTGAACCAAATGGTCTTTTTGGTGAAGTCAATAAAGAGAACAGCCACCCCTGGGACGCCTGTGGGGCTCCAGCACATCCCACACCATGACAGAACATCCCAGCACCATCCCAGCACCATTCCAGCACATGCCAGCATCATCCCACACCAGCCCAGCACCAGCCCAGCCCTGACGGAGAGCAGCTCAAGATGCCTGGGACAGACGGGCTTAAGGCTCTGGTGGTGCAAGAAGCAATCTTTATTGTTGTTACAGAGTTTTTATATCTTTTAGCTACAGGAGTGTACAATACTTAAATCAGATAACATTCATGCAGCTGACAGCAATACATCATTACTTAATTAGCTCTTTGTGGATTATGGTCAGTACAGTGATCAAAAGGCGTTCTTTCCACAGAACATGTTCTGCTGTTGGTCACGGAACGAAGAAGCTGTAGCTTATGCTTGCCAGTTTCACATGGCAGTCCTTCCCTTTCAGGAGGGGCCGTGTGTTCCCTGTTTGACCCTTTCAGGCCAGCCAGGTCTGTTTTGCTTCACAGTCTTCCTCAAGATGTGGATGCTTCCTCCCTGGAAGCATTCAAGGTCAGACTGGATGGGGCTTTGAGCAATCTGGTCTAGCAGAAGCTGCTGTAAGCAGGGGAGTTGGCACTAGGTGATTTTAAAGGTCCTTTCCAGCCCAAACCCTTCCATGTACGAAGGAATCCTCCCTCTAGGCCCCATAGGTGTGATGATACTTTACAGGGCATCAGGATGACCGAGGCCTGTTCCCATCTCTGTGAGGTTTGAAGAGGCCCCCCCAGTTGATGGATACTGAGGCTGGATGGAAAACCAGGCTGCAGTAATTATTTGAAAAGATAAAGGCAGTGTAGCTTAGTAATAAGACTTGAGTACAGTTCTTAGTACTGCATCCCAAATGGCCTGCATGGAAAAAAAATCTGACAGCGTTTACAGAAGGCATGTATTCTCCCTTCCACAGCCTTAATTTTTCCACGTTGTGTCACATCTCTTCTTGACACTGTTACACATGCTGCCTCTGAAGTTGTTGCAAATAATAAATGGGAAATCCATCAGTGCCAGCAGGTGGCTTTTTCTTTACAATCATCCAATGTTCAGAGAATGCAGACAAGTTGTTTGGTGAATAACTTTTCTTTGTAATGTCAAAGCTGTGCAGCTGATAGCAGTTCTTGGACTGAAGCATTTTTACAGAGTGCAGCTCAGCTGCCTTTTGTGTGTGCAGTAGAAAATGTGGCTACATGTGAGCCCGACTTCAAACCACCACCTTTTGCACGTTTACTTTTGTGACTTACAAATTCTGAAATAGGTTTCCAATGAGGAGAGAAACACCAAGGAAAGATTTTTCTTTTCTTCTGACACGTCTGGCATCAGAGGAAGCGTGAATGGTTCTGCAACCATGTCCACAGAGAACGGTGGGGCCAGTGCAGTTCACTGTCAGCTGCAAAATGTCTTCAGAACCGAGCCCTGAGGGGGCAGCAGCACAACAACAGCTCCTGCAGCTGCTGCGCTCAGCACATCCACACCAAGACAAGAGCAGCCAGCAAGTCCTCCAACTCGGGCATAACTACGGTCAGCCAAGGTCCTCTTCCACCCGGCTACGAGCTGAATGAATTTTTCTGCTGCCTTTTCTGTTCTCTTATTTTAAGCACACCAAAATACACGTTACATCTGCCTTTTGCTGCACAACAGAAATTGCCAAAAGCTGTTAAAGTGAGGGTTTTCTAAACTGGTTGACCTAGTAGACCTTCAAGTGTGTGTGCGTGTGTGCTTGTGTGTGTGTGGTTTAATCAAGAAAGGAATTAAATTTTAAGCAGTTATGATGCTTGCTGTGAACTGCTAAGTCAGTGAGACGACTTGCTGTCCTCAAATTAGAAAGAAGTCAAACAGTAAGGAAGTGGTATAAATAAGCAGAAGGAAAGTCACTGTTGCAGGACATAATCTGCTGTGTGGCTTTAGATGTTCATACACTGCACCTCCTGAGTGCAATGTGGGCACAGATATTTCATACCCATGTGGAACTGGTCCAATGATTGGTCTGTTGCCTCAAAGATATGAAATAATACCTTATAATAAATTAAATCTTATTATAAATAATATCTTAACTTTAAGAAATAGAAATGTTTGTGTACTCTGAGTGAGGGAAAGCAAGAGCTGCCTAATGTGAGTGGCACAATAGGGGAGTTAAATGGGGCTGCAGTTAAAGCAGCAGGTGGTGGAGGCTTGGATTCCCGTGCCTACAGGATAACCGTGACAGCAATTCTGAAAACATCAGTTGTTGCTTCACCCCTTTTATTTCATTAGAAATAGGAAATCACTGCGCTATTCCCTCCGTGATGCATTTGATGCAAACACAGGAGTAAGGCAGCGTCCCAAACGCTGCATGTTCAGGAAATGCAACGTCAGAGCCCTGGTGCTGAACCGCCTGTATGTGATGTGCAGAGGGCGAAGGAGGCTGCGGGCCCTTTCCTCGGCTTCAGCTCCTCTGTGCCCTGTTGCTGGCCGCAGAGAAGGGCTGCCCGCTGGGCACAGGGAGCGCCTTCTCGCCGCCGTCCCGTGCCCTGCAGCCCCCTCCTCATCCCGTGCGCAACGCCGCTCCCAGCAGCACAGGTGCCATTGTGGAACCTTGCCCATGTCACAGCCGTCACCTTGGTCACTGCCACCCCACCCGGCGCACTCGTCTCTGAGCGTGCTGGGCAGGTGGCAGCCATGTCCAGCACTAAGAGAGCGAGAGTGGAAGAGAGCGTAGTTATATATGGGAAGAGGGAGCTGGGGGCCCCAGAACCGAAGAGGAGGAGGGGGCCCACCATGACCATCAAGCAGAGGAGGGAGAGGAGGAAGGGAGCCCGGTTCCATCGCGCCCGGGCCAGCGCTGTGAGCGACCATGGGGAGCCCATGGAGGTGGATCCGCCTCCAGAGGAGCCCATGGAGGTGGATCCGCCTCCAGAGGAACCCATGGAGGTGGATCCGCCTGCGGCACAGCTGGCCTGGCACCACACCACCGTGCCAGGCCCTGTGTTGGCGCGCTCACAGCTCCGCCATCGCTGGTCCGGGCGCTCGGCCCCTTACCCTCTGCGCGGCCCCCGCCCCCGGCATTAGCTGGGTGGCATTGCTGACCATCTGCTCCTCCTCCACCTTGTTGCTCCTCTGCGCTTCTGCGGGCCCCCAGTTCCATCTTCCCCCTTAGGAGTTAGGTCCCACTTCTGGGCTTTGTTGTTGATTTTAGTGTTAGCTTAGTTTTAGTGTTCAGTTTAGTTTTAGCAATAGGCATAGGTTACTGTTAGGAGTGTAGAGTTAGGCATAGGTTACTGTTAGGAGTGTAGAGTTAGGCATAGGTTACTGTTAGGAGGTTAGAGTTAGGCATAGGTTGCTGCTGCCAACTGGCAGTAAATGCTGCTCACTCGGTAAGCCCTCCCTGAGTTCTCATGCAGAGAAATGAGTGCGACTGCCCTGAGAAGGGAGGTTTGAGGACGTCTGCGATGAATTGAATTTCCATCTTGTGACTTTTCTGTTGCAGAACATCGAGGCATGTGAGTGGCTGAGAAATGGAGTTGGGACTCAGGGGAGCAATCGAGCAATGGGTGCCTGTGTCACAACCTTCCTGAGCGGCCCTTGCAAGGTAGGTGTGCCTTACTGTGAGCGTGCGCTGAGGCACTGCTGTTCAAACACAGCTGGTGGCACTGTCTGCAGCAGGTCTGCTTTCTGTTAAGCTTTGCCCTTCTTTTGTGTCCTCCTGTCCTTTTCAGCTCCTGCTCCCCTCGCCTGCAAGTGGAGCAATGCTCAAGTTTGAGGAATCTTTTCCTCAGCAGACGCAAGTTTAAAAGACGATGCAGCTGCAAGTTTTGTGTCCTTCGTTGTCATTGGGTCAGTAGACCGAGGAGATGTTCAGAACAGCTCTAAGTCAGCCTGTAACAGCAGTGTGCATGAGAGAATAACGACTCTTTCTCCCCTCTTGTAGAAAGCAGCCTCCTTGAGGGTAGGAGAGCAGCGGGCTGCCTGCTGTGTGGGCATTTCTCCCAGCTGAGATCCCTGAGCCCACACTGGCAGAGAACGTGCTGCACCACCATCTCTTCTGTGGAGCTGCTTTGCAGCTGCTCTGTGCGCTGGCTGTAATCGTGCCAGTTTCCAGGTGCCATAAGCCAGTAAGTCGTGCTCTCTGAGGCTGATAGCAAGGCACGGGCAATGGGCAGGGAGGGAACAATCTGTAGCTGTGGCCTACGGTGGTGTGCCCGGCACTGCTGAGGGTGCTGTCGTTTGTCCTGCCCTTCCTTCCGTGTGCACGTGTTCCTGATGCACGCCAGGAGCCTTGGGGTGCTGCTCATCTGCTGCTGCTGCTGCTGTGCTGTGTGTGCTGCCAGGCAGTGTCCAAGCCCTGTGCAGGCGCTGCCTTGCAGGAGATGGCTTTGGGTTTGAGTTCGTATGGGACTTTTGGGCAGGAGATAGAGGTGGAGTTTCTGGCGTGCCCTGATGGCAGGAAGGCGGTTTCCAGTGCTGGCAGCCAAAGCTGCCCGGGCGGTGACTTGAGCTCCCCAAGCGAGCTGTCAGCCACTTGTTACCTGTGAAGGTTCGCTGACCGTTTCTGCCTTGTTTCTTGTAGGACTGGCACAGTCTTGGGACTCGGTCTGGCGAGACAGTGAAGAAAGCCAAGGCAAGTGCTGCTCTGCTGAGGAAGGAAGCCCAGAAGGAGAGCAAAAAGAACCGAGAAGGGCTTGAGCGAGAAGGCCCACAGGACACTGGAATCAGGTGGAATGCTTCCTCGGAGGTGGGACCAAAGGCAGCGGACTGAGTCAGTGTCCGGTTTTGTGGCATAGCCGTGCTTTCCCTTGTCATAGACAGTGCAGCAGAACTAAGGCACCTGGAAGGGAAGGGCTTGTGCTGCATTCCAAGCAAAGAGGGCTTGCCAGAGGCAGGTCTTCATCTATGGCAAGAGATGGAGAGGCTGTGTTCCTTCAGGCTGTATCTCTTCAGGGCCAGGGCCGGTCTAGTATGAGATTGAAGTACGGCTAGCCGGGCCTGGAGGGAGAGGAGCTGACGTAGCCACAGGGTCAGGCTTCTCCTTGTGTCTGCCTGGAGGCTGAATGACTCATTGCTAAGCAGAAACCCTGGATGCTGGGGTTTCATTTTGGACTGTGTTGATAAATACAACCCAGAGCCTTTTGTATTGAATAAAAACGAAACCAACTTTTTAAACACGGTGCTGCCTCTTTCCGTAGCTGGTCAAAAAGTCTTGTGCTTGGGCTGGCAATCGCAAGGCCATGAACCGGTCGGCTCTTTATCAACTAGGTGCTGTGTCACTGTGTCACCAAGGTGCTACGTCACGTGGGTGTTGTGTCACTGTGTCATCTGGGTGCTGTGTCACCTGGGTGCTGCATCACTGTGCCACCTGAGTTCTGCATCACCTGGGTGCTGTGCCACTGTGTCTCCTGAGTGTGGCGTCATGTTGATGTTTTGTCACTGTGCCACCTGAGTGCTGCGTCTCCTGGGTGCTGTGTCACTGTGCCATCAGAGCTCTGTGTCACCTTGCTTTTGTGTCACTGTACCACCTAGGTGTTGTGTCACTGCGTCACCTGGGTGTTGTGCCACTTTGCCACCTGGGTGTTGTGTCACTGTGTCACCTGGGTGCTGCGTCAACAGTGTGCTGTGTAACTGTGCCACCTGGGTGTTGGGTCACTGCATCACCTGGGTGTTGTTTCACTGTGTCACCTGAGTGCTCTGTCACCAGGGTGCTGTGTCAGGGTGCCACCTGGGTTCTGTGTCACTGTGCCAGCTGAGTGCTGTGCCACCTGGGTGCTGTGCCACTGTGTCACCTGGGTGCTGCTTCACCTGGTGCTGTGTCACTGTGCCACCTGGGTGCTGTGCCACCTTTGGTGTTGTGCCACTGTGTCACCTGGGTTCTGCATCACCTGGGTGTTGTGTCACTGTGCCACCTGAGTGCTGCGTCACTTAGGTACTGTGTCATTCTGCCACCTGGGTGCTGCACCACCTGGGTGCTGCGTCATCTAAGTGTGTGTCACTGTGCCACCTGGGTTCTGTGGACTTGGGTGCTGTGTCACTGTGTCACCTTGGTGCTGTGCCCCTGCGTCACCTGTGCACTGTGTCACTGTGCCACCTGGGTGCTGTGTCAACAGTGTGCTGTGTCACTGTGTCACCTGGGTGCTTTGTCACCTGGGTGCTGTGTCAGTGTGCAGCTGAGTGCTGTGCCACCTGGGTTTTGTGTCACTGTGTCACCTAGGTGCTGTTCCAGTTTGTCACCTGGGTGCTGCTTCACCTGGTGCTGTGCCACTGTGCCTCCTGGGTGCTGTACAACCTGGATATTGTGTCACTGTGCCACCTGGGTGCTGCATCAACTGGATGCTGTGGACTTGGGTGCTGTGTCACTGTGCCACCTGGGTGCTGCGTCTCCTGTGCGCTGTGTCACTGTGTCACCTGGGTGTTGTGTCACTGCATCACCTGGGTTTTTTGTCACTGTGTCACCTGGCTGCTGTGCCACCTGGGTTTTGTGTCACTGTGTCATCTGGGTGCTGTGCCACTGTGCCAACTGGGTGCTGCATCACCTGGGTGCTGTGCCACTGTGTCACCTGGGTGCTTATTCACCTGGTGCTGTGCCACTGTGCCACCTGGGTGCTGCGCCACTGTGTCACCTGGGTGCTGCATCACTTGGGTACTGTGTCACTTTGCCAACTGGGTGCTATGCCACCTGGGTGTTGTGTCACTGTGCCACCTGTGTGCTGTGCCACTGTGTCACCTGAGTGCTGTGCCACCTGGGTGCTGTGTCACTGTGTCACCTCGGTGCAGTGTCACTGTGCCACATGGATGCTATGTCACCTGGGTGCTGTGCGACTGTGTCACCTGGGTGCTCTGCCACTGTGCCACCTGGGTGCTGTGTCACTGTGTCACCTGGGTGTTGTTTCACTGTTCACCTGAGTGCTTTTTCACCTGGGTGCTGTGTCAGTGTGCCATCTGGGTGCTGTGCCACTGTGCCACCTGAGTATTGTGCCACCTGGGTGCTGTGCCACTGTGTCACTTTGTTGCTGCGTCACCTGGGTGTTGTGTCTCTGTGTCACCTGGGAGCTGTGCCACTGTGTCACCTGAGTATTGCGCCATGTGGGTGTTTTGTCCCTTTGCCACTTGAGTGCTGCATCTCCTGGGTGCTGTGCCACTGTGTCACCTGGGTGTTGTGTCACTGTGTCACCTGGGTATTGTTTCACTGTGCCACCTGAGTGCTGCATCACCTGGGTGCTGTGCCACTGTGTCACCTGGGTGCTGCATCACCTGGGTGCTGTGCCACTGTGTCACCTGGGTGCTGAACAACCTGGATATTGTGTCACTGTATCACCTGGGTGCTGTGTCACTGTGCCAACAGGGTGCTGTGCCACCTGTGTGTTGTGTCTCTGTGCCACCTGGGTGCTGCGTCACCTGAGTGCTGTGCCACTGTGTCACCTGGGTGCTGCATCACCTGGGTACTGTGTCGCTGTGCCACCTGGGTGCTGTTCCAGTTTGTCACCTGTGTGCTACATGACCTGGGTGTTGTGTCACTGTGCCAAATGAGTGCTGTGTCAACTGGGAGCTGTGCCACTGTGTCACCCGGGTGCTGCTTCACCTGGGTTTGTGTAATTGTGCCACTTCGTTTCTGCGTCACCTGTGTGCTGTGTCACTGTGCCACCGGTGTGTTGTGTCACTGTGCCACCTGGGTGCTGTGCCACCTGGGTGCTGTTTCACTGTGTCACCTTGGTGCTGCATCACCTGAGTGTTGTGTCACTGTGCCACCTGATTGCTGCATCTCGTGGGTTTTGTGTCACTGGATAGATGATAGATAGATAGATAGATAGATAGATAGATAGATAGATAGATAGATAGATGCACACAAAACAATTGCTGGATAGAATATTTTAGGTCTTCTCTGCAGTGAAAGAATTGAGTCGGATGGGGGGACACATTTTGAAAGTTCCCTTGCAAATTGTTGGGCCAAAGATCTTGGCATCAAGTGAACTGATCTCATATTCCCTTGCGTGCACCAGCTGCTGGTAAAATCCAACTGCAGCGGGTTGTTGAAAACAATGTTGAAGGCAATGGGGGGAGGAACATGAGAGCAGTGGGAGAAGCATTTGGCAGAAGCCACCTGTTGGCCAGCGCTCAAGATCTATGAGCCTAGAGAGGTGCAGTGGAAATGCTGGTAGCACGAGGCATCTGACTGTGAGGACTGAAGGGAGCTGCTGTGCCACAGCCTGAGCCTCTGGTCGAGCGCTGATCAGCCCTGGGAGCACAGCGAAGGCAATGCGCTGTGCTGCTGGGAGGGACGGAGCCTGGCGGCGCCTCTCCTGGACCCCATTTGAGAGCTAGCTGCCAGCGGGGAAGAGCCTCTTTTGGGGATCCCTCCTGTGGAGCTTTCCAGGGAGCCAGGATAAGGGTGAGGCCTTCATCTCTTCTTTGTGCTGTCACAACCTGCTCTGCCAAACTCTTTGTGTGTTTCTTAATCACAGCGCCTGGATCGTCACTGATTACACAGAGGAGTGAAGGGATTAAAAGAGAAGGTAAGTCACAGAGAAGCATTCCAACTCACTGCTGCACCACAGAGTCACAGAACAACTTTTATTGACAGATCATGTAAATAATACAACAACATATATTCATTTATATTTAAGAAAGACATAGGTAAATAACATATTTATTTCTATTTAATTAAGACATATGTAAATGAATCACATATTAATTTCTATTTCATAAAAACGTAAAAATAAATAATATAACATATTTATTTCTATTCCATTAAGGCATAAAAATTCAGAATTAACTTCAACCCAATAAAATTAAGGCACAGAACTTCACAATTACCTTAGATCCTACGGAATTAAAGGCATATACCTTCAGAATTACCTTAGATTCTATGGAATTCAAGGCATATGCCTTCAGAATTAGCTTAGATTCTACATAATTAAGGCAGATACCTTCAGAATTAACTGAGATCCCATGGAATTAAGGCATAAGCCTTCAGAATTAACTTAGATGCTATGGAATTAAGGAACATGCCTTCAGAAATAACTTAGGCCCACAAAATTAAGGCATATGCCTTCATAATTAACTTAGACCCTACATAATTAAGGCATATGCCTTCAGAATTAACTCATACCCTACGTAATTAAGGCATATTCTTTCAGAATTAAATCAGACTCTACATAATTAAGGCATAGGCCACCACAACTATCATAGATGCTATGGAATTAAGGCCTATGCCTTAAGAACTAGCTGAGATTCTATGGAATTAAGGCATATGCCTTCAGAATTAACTTAGATTCTACATAATTAAGGCCTATACCTTCAGAATTAACTCAGATCCTCTGGAATTAAAGGCATATGCCATCACAATTAACTTAAATGCTATGAAAATAAGGCATATGCCTTCAGATTAACTTAGATTCTACATAATAAAGGCATATACCTTCAGAATTAACTGAGATCCTATAGAATTAAAGGCATATACCTTCACAATTAACTTAGACCTATGGAATTAAGGAATATGCCATCAGAATTAACATAGACCCTACATAATTAAGGCATATACCTTCAGAATTAACTTAGATGCTATGGAATTAAGGCATATGCCTTCAGAATTAACTTAGATCTATGGAATTAAGGTATATGCCACGAGAATTGACTTAGACCCTACTTAATTAAGGCATATGCCTTCAGAATAAAGTTTAAATCCATGGAATTCAGGCATATACCTTCAGAATTAACTTAGATCCTATGGAATTCATGGCATATGCCTTCAGAATTAACTCAGATCCTATGGAATTAAGGCATATGCCTTCAGAATAAACGTAGACATATGGAATTTAGGCATATGCCATCAGAATTAACTTACATCCCATATGATAAAGGCCTATACCTTCAGAATACAGTTTAATCCCACAAATTAAGGCATATAACTTCAGAATTAACTTAAATCGCACATAATTAAGGCATATGCCATCAGAATTAACTTAGACCCTACATAATTAAGGCGCATACCTTCAGAATAAACTTTAATTCCATGGAATTAAGGCATACGCCTTCAGAGTTAACTTAGACCCTACATAATTAAGGTATATGCCTTCAGAAATAATTTAGCCCGAGAAAATTAAGACATATGCCTTCAGAATTAACTTAGATCCTATAGAACTAAAGGCATATGCCTTCACAATTAATTTAGATGTATGGAATTAAGGCATATGCCATCAGAGTTAGCTTAGATTCTACATAATTAAGGCATACACCTTCAGAATTAACTGAGATGCTACGGAATTAAGGCATATGCCATCAGAATTAACTTAGACCCTACATAATTAAGGTACATGCCTTCACAATTAAATTAGATGCTATGGAATTAAGGCATAAGCCTTCAGAATTAACTGAGATCCTATGAAATTAATGCAAATGCCTACAGACTTAATTTACAACTTACATAATTAAGGCATATGACTTCAGAATTAACTTAGATCCTATATAATTAAGGCATATGCCTTCAGAATAAAGTTTAATCCCATGGAATTAAGGCATATACCTTCAGAATTAACTTAAACCCTACATTATTAAGGCATATGCCATCAGAATTAACTTAGACCCTAAATAATTAAGGTATATGCCTTCACAATTAACTTAGATGCTATGCAATTAAGGCATATACTTCACAATTAACATTGAACCTATATAATTATAGCATATACCTTGAGAATTATCTTAGATGCAGTGGAATTAAGGCATATGCCTTCAGAATAGATTGAGACCCTACATAATTATGGCATATGCCTTCAGAATTAAGTGGGATTCGTCATAATTAATGAATATGCCTTCAGAATTAAATTTTATGCTATGGAATTAAGGCATAATCCTTCAGAATTAACTTACATCCTACGTAATAAAGGTCTATACCTTCAGAATACAATTTAAACACACGGAATTAAGGCATATAACTTCAGAATTAACTTAAACCCCACATAATTAAGCCATATGCCTACACTATTAACTTAGATAACATGAAATTAAAGCATATTCCTTCAGAATTAACTTAGACCCTACATTATTAAGGCATATGCATTCAGAACTAAGAACTAAGATTCTTTGCAACTAAAGGCATATGCCATCAGAATTAACTTCAATTTATGCAATTAATGTCATATAGCATCAGAATTATATTAGATCCTATGGAACAAAGGCGTATACCTTCAGATTTAAATTATATCCTATGGATTAAGCTATATGCCTGCACAATTAACTTAGATGCTATGGATTTAAGGCATATGCCTTCAGAATTCTAGATAATTAAAGCATATATCTTCAGAATTAACTGAGATCCTATGGAATTAAGGTATATGCCATCAGAATTAACTTAGACCCTACATAATTAAGGCATATGCCTTCAGTACAAAGTTTAAATCCATGGAATTAAGGCATATGCCATCAGAATTAACTTAGAGCTATGGAATTAAGGCATATGCCTTCACAATTAAATTAGATGCTATGGAATTAAGGCATATGCCTTCATAGTTAACTTAGACCCTGCATAATTAAGGCATATGCCTTCTAAGTTAATTTATATGCGATGGAATTACGGCCTATGCCTTCAGAATAAACTGAGATCCTATTAAATTTAGGCAAATGCCTTCAGACTTAACTTACAACTTACATAATTAAGGCATATGCCTTGAGAATTAACTGAGATCCCATGGAATTAAGGGTAATGCCATCAGAATTAACTGAGACCCTACATAATTAAGGCATATGTCTTCTGAATAAAGTTTAAATCCATGGAATTAAGGCATATAACTTCAGAATTAACTTAGATACTATATAATTCAGGCATATGCCTCCAGAATTAACTCAGATTCTATGGAATTAAACGCATATGCCTTCACAATTAACTTAGATGTTATGAAAATAAGGCATATGCCTTCAGAATTAACTTCGATTCTACATAATTAAGGCATTCACCTTCAGAATTAACTGAGATGCTATGGAATTAAGGCATATGCCATCAGAATTAACTTAGACCCAACATTTGACAATTGACTTAGATATTGTGGAATTAAGGCATATTCTTAAGAATTAACATAGAACCTATATAATTAAGGCAGATACCTTCAGAATGAACTTAGATGCAATGGAATTGAGGCATATGCCTGCAGAATTAACTGAGATCCTAAGGATTTAAAGGCATATGCCATCAGAATTAACTTAAACCCTACATAATTAAGGCATATGCCTTCAGAATTAAGTTAGATACAGTGGAATTAAGGAATATGCATTCAGAATTAAATTAAGTCCTATATAATTAAGGCATATGCCTTCAGAATTAAATTAGATGCTATGGAACTAAGGCATAAGCCTTCAGAATTAACTTAGATCCTATGTAATTAAAGCCATATAGATTCAGAATTAATTCCGATGCTATGGAATTAAAGTCATATAACTTCAGAATGAAATTAGAGCCTATGTAATTAAGGAATATGCCTTCAGAATTAACTTAGATCCTATGCAATTAGTGGTTTATACCTTCAGAATAACCATAGAACCTATATAATTAAGGCATACGCCATCAGAATTAACTCCGATCCTATGGAATTAAACGCATTTACCTTCAGATTTAAATAACATCCTATGGATTAAGACATATGCCTTCACAATTAACTTAGATCCTACATAATGAAGGCATATGCCTTCATAATTAACTTACACCCTACATAATAAAGGCATATGCCTTCAGATTTAACTTAAACCCAAGATAATTAAGGCATATGCCTTCAGAATTAACTTTATCCCAAGATAATTAAGGCATATGCCTTCAGAATTAACTTACAACCTATAGAATAAGGGCATGTGACTTCAGAGTTAAATGAGATCCTATGTAATTGAAGTCATATACCTTCATAATTAACTTAGACCTTACATAATTAAGGCATGTTCATTCAGAATTAACTTAAACTTTACATAATTAAGGCATATACCTTCAGAATTAACTTAGATTCTATGGACTTAAGGCATTAGCCTTCAGAGTTCACTTAGATGCCATGGAAATAAGGCATATCCCTTCAGAATAAACGTAGACCTATGGAATTAAGGCATATGCCATCAGAATTAACTTACATCCTATATAATAAAGGCCTATACCTTCAGAATACAGTTTAATCCCACAAAATTAAGGTATATAACTTCAGAATTAACTTATATCCCACATAATTATGGCATATACCTACAGAATTAACTTAGATTCCATGAAATTAAGGAATATGACTTCAGAATTCACTTAAACCCAACATAATTAAGGCATATGCCTTCAGAATTAACTTAGACCCCACATAATTAAGGCCTATACATTCAGAATAAAGTTTAGTTCCATGGAATTAAGGCATATGCCTTCAGAATTAACATAGATCCTATGGAATTAAGGAATATGCCTTGAGAATTAAGTTAGACACTAAATACTTAAGGCATATGTCTACAGAATTAACTCAGACCCGATGTAATTAAGGCATATGACTTCAGAATTAACTTAGACCCTACATAATTAAGGCATATGCATTCCGAACTAACTAAGATTTCTTGCAACTAAAGGCATATGCCATCAGAATTAAACTTCGATTTATGTAATTAATGTCATATAGCACCAGAATTAAATTAGATCCTACAGAACTAAGGAACATACTTTCAGATTTAAATTACATCCCATGGATTAAGCCACATGGCTTCACAATTAACTTAGATGCTATGGAATTAAGGCATATGCCTTCAGAATTCTACATAATTAAAGCATATATCCTCAGAATTAACTGAGATCCTATGGAACTCAGGCATATACATTCAGAATTAACATAGAACATATATAATTAAGGCATATACCTTCAGATTAAAGTAGATGCCATGGAATTAAGCCATATGCCTTCAGAGTTAACTTAGACCCTGCATATTTAAGAGATATGCCTTCAGAATTAACTTACAACCTATGGAATTAAGGTATATGCATTCCGAATTTGCTCAGATCCTATAGAATTAAAGGCATATGCCTTCACAATTAATTTAGACCTATGGAATTAAGGCATATGCCTTCAGAATTAACTTAGATGCAATGGATTTAAGGCATATGCCATCAGAATTAAGTTGGATTCAACATAATTAAGGCATATACCTTCACAATTAACTTAGATGTTATGGAATTAAGGCCTATGCCTTAAGAATTAACTGAGATCCTACGGAATTAATGCAAATGCCTTCAGACTTAACTTACAACTTACGTAATTAAGGCATATGCCTTGAGAATTAACTGAGATCCCATGGAATTAAGGGATATGCCATCAGAATTAACTGAGACCCTACATAATTAAGGCCTATACCTTCAGAATAAAGTTTAATTTCATGGAATTAAGGCATATACCTTCACAATTAACCTAGATAGTGTATAATTCAGGCATATGCAGTCAGAATTAACTTAGACCCGACATAATTAAGGCATATGCCTTCAGAGTTAACGTAGATGCTATGGAATTAAGGCATATTCCCTCTGAATTAACTTCAACCCCATGCAATTAAGGCGTATGCTTTTATAATTAATTCAGATCCTATGCAATTAAGGCATAAGCGTTCAGATTTAAATTAAGCCCTACATAATTAAGGCACATGCCTTCAGAATTAACTTAAATGCAACATAATTAAGGCATATTCCCTAAGAATTAACTTAGATCCAATGCAATTAAGGCATATGCCTTCATAATTAACTTAGATCCCACATAAAATAGGCATATGCCGTATTAATTATGGAATTAATTATGGAATGAAAGGCATATGACTTCAGAATTAACTCAGATCCTATAGAATGAAGGTATATACCTTCAGAATTAACTTAGACCCTACATAATCAAGTAATATGCCTTCAGAATTAACTTTGACCCCACATAATTAAGGCATATGCCTTCAGAATTAACATAGAACCTATATAATTAAGGCAAATGCCTTCAGAATGAACTTGGACACTACATAATTAAGGCATATTCCTTCAGTATTCAATGAGATCCTTTGCAATTAAGGCATATACCTTCAGAATTAATATCAACCCTATGGAATTAAGGCATATACCTTCAGAATTAACTTACAACCTATGGAATAAAGGCATGTGCCTTCAGAGTTAACTTAGATCCTTTGTAATTAAAGTCATATACCTTAAGAATTAACTTAGACCTTATGTAATTAAGGCATATTCCTTCACAATTAACTTAAACCTTACATAATTAAGGCATATTCCTTCAGAATTAACTTAGACCTTACATAATTAAGGCATATGTTTTCAGAATTAACTTAGTTCCTATGGAATTAAGGCACTTGCCATCACAATTAACTTACATCCTACGGAATTAAGGCACTTAACTTCAGAATTAGCTTACATCCTACGGAATTAAGGGACAGAGCTTCAAAATCAACTTCGGCCCTATGGAATTAAGGCTCACAACTTCAGAAGTAACTTAAATGCTATGGAATTAGGGCCTTAAACTTCAGAATTAAGTTAGGCATTATGGAATGAGGGCACAGAACTTCAGTATTGACTTAGATCCTATGGAATTATGGCACAGGGCTTCTAAATAGACTTAGATGCTATGGAATTAAGGCTCATAAGTTCAGAATTAACTCCAGTCCTTGTCGTAGAAAGGTCCGCTGGTCATGGCCTCAGGGATTTTTCCTTGCCTGATCTTCTTGGCCCTTAGCTGCTCCAGCTCTCCGGCCCTCAGTTCCCTCCTCGATGCACAGAGCTGCCTGCTCTGATGCCGTGGGGATGCAGAGGCGCGGACGCGGCGCTGTGTCCAGAGGCACCGGCTGTCGGTGCGGCCGAAGCGCTGCTTGCTCCCGGCTGAGAAGTCTCTGCAGCTGCCTTGGGAGCAGCGACAGCAAGCGGAGCGGTGCGGGCAGGGTTTGCAGCAGCCGAGCTCCCAGCGCCCGGAAGCCCCACAGTCTACGGCCAGCGGCCGCTCCAGGAGCGTGAAGCGAGGCTGCCGATGGAACTGAAGGACTGCGGCTGTTGGCTGGAGAGCCTGCAGGGAGGAAATGGATGGGAAGGCTCAGGATGCGTGCACCTGCCATACCGAAACACTGCTGCGTTTCAGTGCTGCAGAAGAATGCTTATCAACGCCGGTTTAATCGCTGGTTCCTGATGCAGAAACTTACTTGGGAACCCAGGGCTTGGGGCTTGCTGTCCTCCCAGTACAAGAAACAGTAATGGTTCAGTGTCCGCTTTCTCTCTCCAAAGGAGCTGAAAAAGTTCCAAATACATCCATGAAAACTACATTCCTGCACAGGCAGGCATCTTTCAATCCACGCTTAAAGCAAAAACCCACGTGTGCCGACCAACTGAACGGAACTGAGAAACTGAACCGAAGCAATGGCAGCTGTAAACAAAACGCTCTCAGGCTGCTGTCTGCAGACAGCCTAGAAGCAGGAACCTGACGGGCAAGAAGGAATTGCCATCACCCAACCCCTGGAGCTCTCATTCTCCTCTGCCTTGTTCT